GGAAACTTCTGCTGCAATCTTGAAAGCATGCTTCAGAGGCTTTTTGAGATTGAATTTTATCACAATGTAACAATTGTTGATAGGACAGCCAAGAGAGGTTTTACAAAATTCACTCATCACATTTCCAGTAATTAATGAACAATCAAACCACCCATTCAGCCAAAATGTTGAAAATCACTGTCTCCTTTGGTTGAATTGACTACACAAGACAACTTTGAGACTAACCATATTCAGTGCTTTGCTTGCAAAAGGAGGTTTTTTTAAACACATTTTGGCAAGGATGTTTGACTGCACTAAATTCCCCAGACATGCAATGCATCATACAAAAAAATTACAATTTTTTTTATAGTGCACCAGATCAGAGCAAACATGGAAAGCAGGCACTGACACAGGCCCACAAACAATGCTGGTTGCCTGGTTCTTATGTCTCCATGTATGGTTGCAATTCTTTGGCATCACAAACCTTCAAACAGCACCATGAATGTTTTGTGCTGCTAAAGCTATCTTGTTGAAAATCAGTTTTTAAATTAGTTTGCCAATCAGTCATCAGCTAATCCCAGATGGTTGGACAGACATCAATCAGACAGTCAGTCAATAATCAAGTCATTAATTTATTAGTTTATTAGGTAGACCTCTGTATTGGTATGAAAGACCCATAGTCAGTCCATCAGTCAGTATGACATTTGATTCAATATCACTCATTCAGTCTGTGACTTGATGAGCCTGTCAGTTTGACAGTCTGTATGTCTGTCAGTCAATCAATCAGTAAGTGTCAGTCGATCAATCATTCAATCAATCAATCAGTCTGTCTGTCAGTCAGTCAATCAATAAGTCAGTCAGTCATTCAGTCAGTCAATTGTCAATCATTCAGTCAAGTAATCAGTTATTTAAGTCAGTCAGTGAGTCATTTCAGTCAATCAGCCAGTCAGTCAGTCAGTCAGTCAGTTGATCATTCAGTCAGTCAGTCAGTCAGTCATTCATTAAGTCAGGCTATCAGTAATTCAGCCAGTCAGTCAGTCCATCATTCAGTCAATCAGTCAGTCAGCTAATCAATCAGTCAGTTTGCCATTCTGTCCATCAGTCATTCAATCAGTCAGTTAATCAGTCATTTAATTAGTCAAACAAACAGTCAGTCAGTCTATCAGTTGGTCCATTGATTAGTCAGTCAGTCTATCAGTTGGTCAGTCAGTCAGTGTGTCATTCAGTCAATCAGCCATTCTGTTAGTCATTCAAACAATCAGTCAATCAGTTAGTTTATCAGTGAGTCAGTCAGTCACTTATATGTAGTCAGTCAGCCAGTAAGTCTATCAGTCAGTCAGTTGGTCTGTTCATAAGTTAGTCCATTATTTAAAGTTTTCCAGTCAGATTGAATGTGGTTGCCACAGACTAAAGTTTGTAACTTCCTTTAACAAATTCCTTGATCAAAAGAAAGTTGTGCAGACCAAATTATGCAGAATGTTAGATACTGTACGTAAGAAACAGCCTCCAGGTTCTTGTAACAACCATTTCTTCTGTATTAGTTTGTTTTTCCCAAATCATGAATAAAAATGGCCTAAGTCCACTTTATGACAGGAAATGTAGCATCATGATGCTGTAATTTAGACATTCTAGGACTTTTCTTCATATTTTAAATTTTTCTTCTCTCCAAATAAACTTTCTGGAATTCCTGAGGCATTTAAGGATTTTTTCTGGATCATTAGCTGACCTGTGGCAACCATGTACCAATTGAGTTAGGTATGCAGTCATAATACAAACAAGTGAGTGTACAGTATGTCAGTCACTTTGAGGTGATAATAATAAAATATTCATTTTATTATTGAATGAAAATTCATTTGAGTGGATCCTGGTAGGTAATTGACTGTTGCCACTTTTCATTTATTTTGCCACAATTGACTGATTGAAGTATGAACAGATAAAACTCTTATTTCATGCTGTGCCACCATGCCTATTTGCATGGCACAGGCTTGACAACAATATTCTCTATTGTTGTTTTGTATATGAATTTGTATTATACATCAAACAATCAGAAAAGCCATTGACTCTCCTGCAGGGTGACTTTGTATAACTAAATGGTTGCCTGTCAGCCTTCATGACTATCCATCAGTCAGTCAGTCATTTTGTGTGCCAGTCAATCACCCAGTCAGTTGTCAGTCAGTCAATCCCCATTGCTTTCTGTTAGCCAGTCTAAAGGCTGATTGTCAGTCAGTCAAGCAGACAACTGGCCAGTCGGTCAGTCGGTCAGTCAGTCAGTCAGTCAGTCAGTCTGTCAGTCTGTCAGTCAGTCTATCAGTCTATCAGCCAGGTAGTAAGTTGTTGTCAGCTTAACAGTTTGTCTGTTGCATTATCATGCAGCCAGTCACTGAGACAGTCAAACATCAAGCCAGTTGGTCAATCAATTGGTCAGTCAGTCAGTCTGTCTGCTAGTCAGCCAGTCAATCAGTTGGTGGATCAATCAGTTGATCAGCTAGTCAGTCTGACAGTTTATCAGTCAGCCCAATACACAGTAAGTCAGCCAGTCAGTCTCTTAGTTACATGTAGGTACTGTAGTTCACCATCCAATAGTCAGTCAGTCAGTCACAATCAGTCAGACAGAAAGTCAACCAGACAGGTACAAGTCAATCATTCTGCCTGTCTGTCACAAGATTAGCCAGATACTGTGTTTTTTGATAAAGATACTTCAGTTGTGGGTTGTCTTCTCTAATAGAATTGCTACCCAGCATCAGCTTCCAAGCTCATCCAGTGGTGATAAGAACTATGGCAATTTGGCAAGACTTCACTTTGGAATTTCACTTTCTGGAACTTAACAATTCCCCACACAGCTTCATGCTATCAATTTTCTTTCCCAGATACATGCTAATTTATGTATCTGGTGACTTGTTTCTTTCCAAAATTACAAATCAGACAGTCAACTGTGACAACAGACAATGAAAAGTGACATGGAAATCAACCTTGATCCACAGAACATTGATACACTACATGTCTGGGGTAGATTTCAAGTTTATGTCCCACATGCACTGATGCTACATGAACTAAATCAGCGGCATCACACATTTGCTACCTTGGAATTAAAAAAAAACTTGGCTTATTAAAGAACTTGTCTACCTGGTTCAATCAACAGCTGGATTGCAAAGGAAAACTAACATCTTGAAAGAGATCTGCTTGAAACTTGGTCCATTTGTTCACCCATCAGACATCTGACCTGGAGAAAATAAGATATATTCCTACTGATAAGTGTTACGCCAAATAGGAGTGAGGCTTAGTTCTTCTTACAAGTACATTAATTCAATATTTGGACCACCACTACTACCAATGCGCCAAGTACTCCCATGAAAAACCTCTTACTTACCGGTAATGTGCAACATTTGTCAATTAAGAAACAAACTTTTATTTTCACTCCCAACAAATATTTACTCTTTACACAATTTTTTCTTTCCTCAAGCCATCTTTTGACCTTGAAATCCAAATTTGAAACAGTTGGTTGATCTAAAGGTACTGTATTCTTCACCTATAAGCCAAGTGATTTTTTCAGTATTTGACACAAACGTTTGAGAGATTTTTTCACAAGAAACGGGGTTCGGCTTATAGCTGAGGGTTTGGGATTTAAAAAAAAAGTACAAATTTACCGTTAATGCAAAATGACCATAAATTCTGTGACTGCAGCGCTCTTTTTTTCCTTTTGTGTATATTTCATTAGCTGTTGTGCTCATTGAGCCATTTCCCAATTTTTTCCATTAGGTTCACTCACTCAAATGGCCTGTTACAATCAAGAATTTTGCTCTGGGCTTATACCTGATGGTTTTGCTTTTTCTCTTAGACAATGCAAGTCTGTTGGAAGGTCTCTAACTTTTAGGGTCGTGGCTTATAACTGAGATCGGCTTATAGGTGAAGAAATACAGTATATAGTAACCTTGATCCCATGCAAGTCTGCTAGTCACTTTGTCAGTGACTATAAGTCAAGTGACTATAATGACATTTTCAATCATATAGTATAGGGTTGTAGCTATGAAATTTGAGTGCTGGCTTAAATTTCAAGTGTGGAGGCTCAAAGATGGCACCTCACACTTTTCCCTTATTTTTGTTGCAATTTACCAAGTGATGATAAGCCAAAAATCAAGGCAGTCAACAAACTCTTCAATTATTTTCAATTGAAATATAGTTTCCAAACTTTCCTATTGAATTACATCATAGTAGAAAATGTTAGCTTAACAACTGAAGGTAAAATGTCCTTTTGGAATGAATATTTAAAAATATTCATGTATTGTATGGGACTAAAAATATTGCCAGCATTGTAATATTTATTACTATGTAGTTCGTTTTTCAGAGCAGATGAAGGCATGGGTAAAACTACAGATCACCGGGCCACTTAGTAACCTATCACTGAATCACACCATTCTGCCTCATTCACCAAAGCATGCCAACAATATGGACCTCAGTCAGGCCCTGTGTTCTGTAGTTGCTCCCAGATATACTTATGTACGGCGATCTTTGAAAGCTTTTTTCTAGGTATTCTGCAGTTACTACAAGTTTAGCAGAAATATCACAGTAAACGTAAAATCACAAGCTTACCTTCAGACAAAGATGTCTACTTTGCATGTCATTCTGATCCCAGCATGTACGCTTGCAAACCACAAAAACACATAAAACCAATGCTCTAAAAACAAGAACAACGACGGGTCTGCTTCTGATGACTTACACAGAAGCAAAACTACTGGGAAATAAGGATAACCAATCCTTCCAATTTCTTGAAGACAATTTTTCAGGAACACGTGCAAAATGGCCGACTTAAGTTACGCCTGAAACTTCGCTTAAACTCGTTCTCAGGATCTTCCCGATGTAGAAATCCAACATGGCGGAAAACGAGAGCTGGGACAGTTGATAATTTCTAGAGCTGCGCAACACGTGGTCGTCAAGAACAACGTTGGTTATAGCTATGCACGTCTTAACCAAGGGAAAGATTAAATGTAAAATAACAGTATGCGCGAAGAAGCCCGCACAGCACTTCATAGACTACAAACAAAGAGGCGCGCAAGGCCGCGCGCCAAAGAACGCGGTGTTGAGCGCTTTGCAATTGTTTAGCGCTGTCTTTCTGCTTCAAGATTTAAACCGTTTCTTTGGAAGACTTCTTGAGCGTTTCGAGACTCGATTCCTGATTATTGGAAAACACGAAAGTTGAACACTGAAACTCGAAACCCAAGAACTCGTTCTCGAAAACTTCGAGAGTTTGAGTCGAGACTGTTAGATGTTAAATCAGTTCCTTTGAAGTTCAGCGAAGGGATATCTGAGCACAAACTACACGCGATAACTCAGCTAGTATTATTTAAACATTAATTTTAAAGTTCTAAGAAGATTTCCTTTACTGTTATTTGTATACTCTTTAGTTGTAAATAAGTTATAGAAAACAGGATACATGTAAGCTCTTACAAACAAGACTTCTGTATTTATTGCAGTAAACTCTGCATGTTGGAAAAGTATTTTAAACTTGTATAGATTCACTGGTTAAAGATTCTCAGTAAAGTTTCAACACCATCAGAAATCCAGTCTCCAGTAATTCAGTGAATGATAGCCTTGTTGTTTTGTTAATAACTAAGACTGAAGTCATTACAAAGTAAAGATTTACAACTGTACTGACACCACAAAAATGTTTTGGTCAAATAACCTTTATTTTGCTTTGAGTTAACAACACTACAACGTGATTTAATATTTTAATCAGTCTTGGTGTGATGTAAGTTTTTATATTTCTCAGGAAAATCTAAGAGTATCTGTTTCATTTAGGATTAAACGATAAGTTATTTTTAACTTTAAATATTATGATTGAGTCTCCTTGGTTTCATTCTCTTCTTTTTGAATCAGAGGCTTGAGAAGTTCAGCTCGTTTATGGATGTCCACTTCTTTGGACTGTTATGGAAAAAGAAAAAAATAATTTTATGTTTGTCGTTATTTTGAAGGTTTCATCGCAAGAGGAATTTTTTCACTGTGGTTAAGACGCTACGTAAAAAATAATGAGTAAAGTTATTTTCAGTGGGGCCTTAAACTATTGGAAAAATTGAAGACGACTAAAAAAATCATCCAAGATTCGATTAAGTTCGTAATTTTAATTCTTTAGAAACTATTATTACGAAACTATTACTACGATTTTAGAATGCAACTGAAGGACAACAAGAAACGATTACGCAAAAAGATACATTTCTAACTGGTTTCTTATTTTAGAACTTGATTATGTTTGTTTCTGTTGGTTCATTTGATGCCGTTGAAATATCGAGTTAATCACATTTGCAACAATAGAAAAGCATCACTTTGCGCACATTATTTTTCTAGAAGCTTGGTGTTACTCACAATCTTGACTTTTAATCATGGGATTTACCGATGGGCTGTGGTATTCCCTTTATTTTTTGAAGGAGAGAGGTGTTATATTCAGTTCAAGTGTTTACACCAGGTCGTAAACAGTTGTCAGTATTACACGCGCGGTTTGTAAGTAAACGGGCATTTGGCCGAGATTGATCAGGAAGCCTTAGACATCGAAAATCAATTTTCTACAATCTGCCTTCGAGTTAATTTTTGCTCAGTTTCCAGGAGAGCATGTAGAAGCTTTAATATACTGAACTTTAAATTAAGTTCCTCACCTGTTCATTGCAGATGGTACTCGCAATCTGATTGGCCCTGGCCAGAAGTGATCCAAAGGTTTTCATGTAGTACACGCGCTTGCGCTTGTATGCGATACTCCTCAGTTCGCCTCGGTACGCGCGGCCAATGCCGATCGCGTAAACCTGGACGCCCTTTCGTACGAACCTCGAGGCCATGCGCTTGACTGCGTATGCATGACGGCGACTCGGTGGACCGCCTGTGATTACAACCAAAACACGCTGGATGTAAGTTGGTTCGTGAGCATAAAAAGTGTCATACGCGGCTTGTAACGCCAGATCTAAACGTTTCCCTCCTCGGTTAATGTGTGGCGCTTGATCAACTGCACGTCGGACGGCTGTGGGAAGGAAAATGAATTCATTGTAAGCGAACGTGTGAGGTGAAGAAAATTTAATGTATAGAATTTAGGCTAATTCTCTGTCTTTTAAACAACCCTTTCTGAAGTGAGGGCCTAAATAAGAATGTTTAACAAGTAAGAAGTCAAGCAAACAAAAGGGAAAGACAAACTGATTAAGTATGCAGAATGTCCACTTATAAGCAAACATATTTTTATCAGTGTCAAAAAAAAAGGCAAACTGTGGGAGAAATCATAATATCGTGTTTAATACACCTTCAGAAAAATAACTGCCTGATTCCAGATCAAAATGATGTCTACATAATGAGGTAACTTCGTGCGGTGAACACCGAATCTTTCTGAAGGAAAGCGCGAAACATTTTCAAAATTGGTGAAGTTATGAAGAGACCCACAAAAATGCTAGTTACAACTTGAATTTATTCACATACAGAGTATCAAGAGTGAGACATACCAAATAAGGAGTTGAACTGTCTGAACCTCATTCTCAGTGAAGGCAGGTTGGCGTATGTGATGAGACCGATGCGAGACTGGTGCTTAGTGATGGTGAATTTGCTGGACACAGCCTTGACAAACGCCTTCTCCAGCTGGAAGTTAGCACGGGAAACTTCATTCGACGCATCCACCACAAAGGCAAGATCCAACGTGACCGGGCAGGTCTTGGTAGGGGCTGGGTACGATAAAAAAACAAGTACGTCAAAAAAACGACAGTCTGATGTACAACATCGACTAAGTCCCTATCTTTGATCTCACATAACATGCTTTAAATTTTGTTTTGAGATTTCAATCCAATACCTAACCGCTGTTAAAGGACTTCAGCCTTGCTATACACCAAGCCTAACTTTTTTTAACCCTTTTAGAACAGTGTGTATCAGAAAACTAACTCTTTGATTTCCGAGAGTGACTCTTCACAGTATCACGCCTGAATCGCATATAAGGTCACGAGAAGAAAGGAAATGATCACCAAATAAAGAAGCTCTTGATTGCGAAACAAATTCTCCTTGTCAGCACTATAGGAAAGGTATACAGAACAGTATAGAGAATATGTATACTAATTTTAGAGTGGGAAGGGTCACGAGGATGTTTTATGGATGGGCCCGCTGCCTTTGAGTTGTTTACCTTGAACAAATTTTTCCTCACCGAAAAGGCAAAAATAAACCAAAAAATGACATATTAAATGTTGAAGAATGAAGACGATTAAGAAATATCGCAAACGACAAACTAGCATGGTATAAGGTTTAAGAGAAGCAGAGAGCGCCACTTCTTTGAGTTGCATGAAACTTACCTAGTGGTTTGATTGGCGGACGGATGGGTGGTCTGATGGGAGGCCTGGGCGGGAGTCTGGGTCGTTTGGTGGGTTGCACAACTGGTCGTCTTTTCTCAGCTGGAAATTAAACGAAACAACATACGTCAAGTCAGAACTTATCTTTTGCCTCGAAAGAAAGGATTTATTTTGAGAAGAGGTTAATATGAGACGGTAGCAATGAAAATGAATTTTATCACAAAGCAACATTGGCTGAACAAACTCACATCTTCTCTCTCCGTAAAGCTCAAATCTCATGGAGATATGCCTGAACCACGTGCGAGGTTTGATTTTCACATATCGTGCGTAGATATGAGGCGTTAGAACATGCGCCACTATGCTGTTCCGGTCATTGTTGGCCGGGAAGACCTGGGGGAAAAGAAAATATTGATAATACGACATTTTTTATTGTTTTGGACTATGTGTGTAGTGAGATTGAGTACTGAAAGTGGGAAGATTTAATGCTGTCGGTAATGGTTAATAGCTAAGGTAGGACATCTTTCGAGGCCTTTTTTTTAATTTTACATTGGTTGCCTCTTTGTTTTCCAAAAATTTATGATAGCTGGATGGCAAATGACGCTCTAGCACATCCAAAACAAAGCAAGGCAAATCACTAAAGCTTAGACTTACTAAGTAGGACGTTCCACCGAAAAAATTTTAACAACATGGCAGAGTTTGTACCTAGCGATCGGCCTCTTCTATCGTTAAATAAAGAGGGTATAAGATGACAGTTTTCATCATCAGAAATCCAATTTGTCTAGGTGCCATTTCTTTTAATTTCTTTTACTCATGTAAGAGGACATACCTTTATTCGTCTACGCCTCGTGTAAGGTCGGAAGGTGTTTCCATTTCGGCTGTAGGTAACTATATAACTTGTCACCCATTGGTTCAAATCTTGTCGACCCTGTGTTAGGATTCGCTTGACAATAGTGAGCTTTTTAAGGTCCACCTTAGAAGACGAAGAAAAAATCCATGAGAAAACTGCCTCATAGGGCTGATCATTAGTTGCCACTCTGTGTTCAGATGAGAGAGAGTGTTCAGTAATAACATTTAGAAGAGAATATAAAATTTGGCAGTTAACTTTTGTTTCCGTAAATTTCTTGTCAATATATGAATTATCCATCAACAGATAGCTCTGGCTGAGCAGCTCTCACCAACGAAAAGCTTTGTAATTCTTTTATATGAAATCACAAAATTTTTACTTATTTTATCGAGTTATCATTAGGAACAAAAGGTATCATACAAATGCCTAGTGTCTTAACCCTTCACATCCTAGCATCAGTATGCACATTCTCCTCACATTTTTCTATGCAATTCCTATGATATTGATAAGGAGAATTTGTTTAAAAATCAAGAGTTTCCCAAGAGTGGAAGTCATTTCCTACATTCTCATGACTTAACTGTTTGATTCAACACTGATACTGTAGGGAGAAATTGAATGCAAATCACTCCTAGGGTTTTAAGGGTTAGACAGCACTTTAAATCTTCTCCTCTGCGTAAGTCAGCGATATAAAACATAAAACGATATGTCAACGATATAAAATGTCATTTAAGAGCCAACTGAGACGGGTTTGGCGAAACTAACCATTATCCACTGGCGTCTGTTGTTCCTCTTTGCAGACCACGCCCCCTTGTTCTTGCCGTGTGCCACAGTGTTCAATCGTCCAAAGCGTGCACCGTGATATCTGTTCCACTCGGTGGACGCCGTTATGTAACGATCTTGGATCTTATGGTCCTCAATACCCAAAGGCAGATCTCTTCTCGCTGTGGAAAAAAACACAGTTGGTCACGCCCAGTCTTCACTTAAGTCAGTATTTACTGTCAAGGCTCAAACCAAGACGGTGGCCGCCATTTTCGTCGCCTACTTGTTTCTGAAGTGCCGGCTTCTTTAATAAGACGAAACCACAAAAAATCTGTCTTGGTCTAAAATAAATATTAACCTTTAATGTTTGAGCCAAACGCACCGCCAAAAAAATCACCACTCAGTTGGTTTTCCAATTACTTGGCGCCGAAAACTCATTAAAATGATTGGCCAAGAAAACGTAACTTTACGCATGATAATACTTACAAGCTTTTCCACCGTAGAATTCGATTCTCATGGAGATGTGGTTAACCCAGGTACGCGCGTACACACGGATGAACCTGGATCGGAAGGGCGGGTCAAAACTGTTTTCTTTGATAGAGTAATGATCGCGGTTCCCTCGGAAAACCTAAATAAAGGAAAGTAAACACGGGTTACTCATTTGTGTCCGCATTGTTTTGGTCTTCGGGACCTTCTACGTCTTTAACTCCCAGATGAGTTTTTAATCGAGAGAGGCTACATATTAACACGTGTAGCTTCTCAAATTACAACTTTTTCCAACAAACACGTGACCAGAAAGGACAATCTTGAACGATGTCGATATAAAACGACACTTCCCCCTTATTTTTTGTATAGGAATATAACGCAGCTGGCGGAGGGAATTATAAAATTGATCCAGGGAGTTATAAGGTTAAATGTCCGAGGAATGACATCTCTGCATTTGGGAAGAAAGTGCTCGCTGAAACCTCTTTTTGAAGCCCGTGGGTCTCTCGCTAAGATCAAGTACTACTTTAGAAGCTAAGTCTGTCTGTCTGTCTGTCTGATTGTCTGACTATTCGACTGTTTGATTGCCTGACTGTCTGTCAGAGCATCTGACAGTACGTTTGTTTAACTTTCTGTCTGACCATCTGACTATGTGACTGTCTGACCTGCCGGCTGTCTGACTGAGTAACTGTCTTTGTGACTACCTATCTAATTGTTTGAGTGTCTGACCAATTGGGTGACTGTCTCTCTGTCTGACTGAATGTCTAACTGACTGACTGTTTAACTGAGTGACTGTTTTACTAACTTTCGGATTGTCTTACCGTCTACTTGACTGTCTGACCGACTATGTATCTCTTTATCCGACTGTCTAACTGACTGTCTGTTCGTTTGCCCGTATTTTTTCAGTCCACCCCATTTTCAGTGTACTTTATGTGACATTACCTTAAGTCTTCCATTGACCTTGAACGGCGTCCATCGATATCCATCAGGGCTGTAAGCCACAGCGAAGCTGGTTACGTACTGATTTGCATCACTTCTGCCTTGCGTGGCAATCTTGGAAATAAAAACAGGCCGTTTAAAATCAAACTGGATCCATTGTTTCCTGTTATTCTTCTTGGCGGACCATCCTCCCTTGAATCGTCCTCTTGGTTTCAGGTTCAGTCGCGCGAGATACGCGGCGTGATAACGATCCCACTCACTCGACGCCTTAACGTATTGATTTCCCAGCCGTCCCTTGGAGACTCCTAAGGCCTTCACGACCGGTTTACGAGCTATAACACAAAACAATGATGACTGTCAGCATTATCGTAAAAGATAATTTGTTTTAAGAGTAGTCTAACCTCAAACTGGACCAGTTGGTTAAATTACAGGACTACAGAAATATGTGCTTATGGCTTCACCTAAGTTTCAGACTATGAAAGTCGCGTTGATGCTATATCACGCGCAGCTTGCCTGTGGACTTAGAAAAAAGCACTATTGATGTAGTCGATTCCAGAATACCTTGTCTCTAACAGATATACAGTGGGAGCCTTATGCGTGCCTGTCTTGATAACAAAATAAAAGAGCTCTTACCAAGGCGACGTCCGTAGAGCTCGACTCTCATGGAGATGTGCCTATGCCACGTGTATGGTACCACACGGACGTAGCGCGCTCTACGAGGCCGCGCAAATCTGTGCCTTACAATAGTATTCCTATCGCGGTTACCAGTCAATAACTGAAAAAAGAAAGCATAAGGTATATCGATCGATGAGGCAGTAAAAGGAGAGGGAGTTCTCGGGAAAATACCTTTTCTCCTTACTGATGAATACTCACCACAGCTCTTCTCCGCACTCGGTACCATCGCCAGCGAACGCCATCCCGACTAGACATGACTCTGTAGGTCTTCACCCACTGTCCCAGATCTTGCCTTCCCTGGGTCGCTATTCCGTACACCACCGCTTGGCAGCCAACATCGATCTGCAGCCACTGATGACGGTTGTTAGCACGCGCTGACCAGGCACCTCTGTATCTGCCCCTCCTCTGAGTATTCAGGCGGCACTGGTGCGGCCCGTGGTACCCATCCCATCGTGAAGATGAACTCAGGGCGCTATCTGGGATACGGCGGTCTTCAACTCCAAGGGGAAGCCTATTTTTGACTGAAATATTGAAAAGTTACACAAGACTCAATTAGGGCTTGTCTTTTTTCTGGGTCTATAAAATTCCATCATTCGAAACGAATTATTTCTTGAGTTTATTGTCTGCTGTGATTGACACTCATATCACAGTAGCTTTGCTACTAATCAGAAGGTATTTCTCTCTTGTTGATTTCTGTCACAGAGCAGCAGTAGCACGCAGTCAGATGGCCGGATGCGAGTTGAGAATACTTTTTGAAAACATTACTTTTAAGGAGTGGAAAGAGCGCGGAGAGAACGCGGAAAGAGGGCGGAAACAGCTTGGAAAGAGCGTGGAAATAACTTGGAAAGAGCGTGGAAAGAGCGTGGAAAGAGCGTGGAAAGAGCGTGGAAAGAGCGTGAAAAGAGAAACGATTTTCTGGGTTTGGAAGTAACAAATAAATTGTAAACATGAAGCTTTCGCGACGTTCTTCACGTCGGAAAATATAACATCTGAGGCTCAATCACTGGTAGTCTTAGATATTATTTCAACTGATAACTGCCATTATTCTATTTCTCACCAGCATTGCGACCATACAACTCTATTCTCATGGAGATATGTTCGCGCCACC